TCTGCCTTACCTGCTCTCCCCAGACAGCATGAAGCCAGGGCTCCCAGCTCTGTAGCCCCCAGATGGGTCCGAGATGCCAGCCTGCTACCCTGCCCACCCCACAGCAGATGGGCCGTGACAACACTTCCAGGGGGAAGCCTGATGAAGGTCCATGGAAGTTCTATCTGCAGACACACAACCTGAGATGCAGGTCTCCAGAGCCAGGGGCAGACACAGAGGCACCCCCACCAACTCCCACGTGGCCAGGAGGGTCCTGCCATGTGGCTGTAGAGGCCAGTCCACGCAGGGGAACACAGGGAGGACATATGGCCTCGGGACAGGCATCGAGGCCCCCTTTCCTATCCACAGTGCCCAGAGCCATACATGGTCACAACTGTCTATCTGGCAACAAACCTGAGAAGCACAGCCCCCTTCCCACCGCAGGAGGAAATATAAGGGGCCTCGCTTGAACACAGGGTCCTGCTCAAAGAGCCAGCACCTCACACTGAACGCCAATCCCAGCCCTCTTGTGAGCAGACCCACTATGGGGTAACACCCCCAACTCCAAAGGGACCTGTCTTCACTCCCAGTGCCCACTTCATGGAACCCAGGTAAGTTCAAAAGTAACCGTTCACTGCTCCTGCAAGTACTGGCGACAGGCATGCCAGCTGATGGCACGGTGCTGGGGGTGGACACAACGTGATCCCTTTGAGGGCTGGCACATGGAGGGCCATGAGGAGGATCTGTCTCTCGGCTTTGAGGCCACAGAAAGTGCTGGAACAAGGGAAGGAAGACGGAGGTGCAAAGAAGCTCCTCCTCCCCACACCCCGACTGCCCCTTCACTGTCTGGTCCTGGGATCATTCAAAAGACTAAAGATTAACACCAGAGAGAAAGCAAAGAAGGGTGGAGTGGCCACTGTCCCCGCTGGGGGTAGCACACACTCATTTAGACCCATCAGCACCCCCAGATTGGCAGGTCCACAAGAGTCCAGGCTGGTACCAGTGTAACCTCAGTCTAACCCATGCAGTCCCTGAGATAATTGGTCAGGCAGAGGGCACTGTGAGGAATCAGTCCTGGAGGCCTGTCACTGGTCACCAGTGAGGACCAGGCCAGTTGTGCCAAGGACAGACTCTCACTGGACCGTGTGGGAAGGAGTTGGTCAGAATAAACCCTTGGTCCCTGCTCCTTGGCCCAGGTAAGACCGCAGGGTCAGGTCAGGCACCCACCATTTCTGGAACCTCAGGGTCAGTGGGTGCTGGCTGACCCTTCCCATCCAAGCGCAAGTCTGGCCTGGCCCTGTGGACACCAGGGCAGAAACGAGGCACGATGCCGGCAGAAGGGTCCCCTTTAGGCATCTCGCTGAGTAACTGCACTGTGGGCTGGCCTCTAGCCTGAGGGCCTGGCCACAGAGCTAAGCCTGGAAGCCTGCCCTCGGTCCACACCTCTGCCCACCCTATGCCTGCAGGGCTCGTCCCCTTCTCCAAGGACCTTCCTGGCCTTGGAGAGTATGCAGATCTGGCAGATGCTGCTCAGATGTGTTCATAGCCATGGCAGGGGTCTGGGACTAAACCGGGAGCCTAGAGCATCACCCTCTGACCACTGAGACCCCACCTCTCATGCTTCATCGCTAATGGCTCCTCCCAGCACAGGAAGCCAAGACCGCCATTACCCCACAGGAGTGTCACCCTCTGAACCTGGAGGGGAGGTCCCAGCTCCCCTAACCTGGCAGCCCAGGCTCCTCCCCCTGGCCCACCCACCTGCTCTGTGCCAGCCTTCAATCCCAGCCCGATGTTCCACGGTCACTCCTGGGCATGAATGCCCTGCCTGGCCGCTTCCCTTCCACCGTATACTGAGGAGCTCTGGGGCAGGGTCTCTGTGGTATTACCACGGTGCCCTCAGCAGAGCCCACATCCCCAGGTACCCCCGCATCCCAGGAACTCCCAAGGCCCCTGGGAGAGAAGGTATGGCGGCACTACAAAACCCCACCCAGACCTCCTTGGCCCTGCTGCACTCCCAGCATCCCCCCACACCTTCACCCTCAGATCCACAGTGCCGCCTCCCTGGCCATGGCATCCCCGCAGAAAGTCAAGCCCAGAGAGGGGTTTAATGGGTCTTTCTGGAAAGCCCAGTCAAGGACTCCCCGCCCCCCACAGCAGCACCACACAATGCTTGCCTCAGGAGGTTCTAGGGGGTCCCACTTCAAGCTCCGTGCAGAGCTGTACAGAGCCCATCTCCCCAGGACTTGAGTGTAGCAGGACAGAGGGGCCACTGAGCAGGATGATGACGCGTGGGAAACTGTCTCCTCCAAACCAGTGTAAAATGCCAGGCCCAGATTCACTGGGCCCAACACTCCAGAAGCTGAACTCTGCCCTAAGACACAGCAGAAACCCAGGCCCCAGGAGTGGGGGTGGGGGAGGAGTGCTGCCCATCCCCCAGCAGCTTCCCCACCCACCCAGGGCGCCCCATGGGCACACTTGGAGCAGATCAGAGGCCTTCCAGAAAACCCCTATGTGAAGTCCACCTGCCCCAGTGCCTAGCTCTAATGGGGTTGTTGATAAGCGTTGTCAAATCGATTCTGACCCATAGCGACCCCATACAAGGTTTCCAAGGAACAGCTGGTGAGCTCGAACCACTGACCTTGCGGTTCAAATCGATTTTGCAGTCCAGCGCATTAACCCACAGCACCACACTTAAATGGGCCCTAGACCCAGATTGGCTCTGGATACCCAACTTGAAAGGAACGGTCTCCCATTTAGAGGGTCTACAAGGCACAGTGGGTTAAGCATTGGGCTGCTAATTAACTGCAAGGTCGGGAACCCACCACATATGGCAGTTCGAAGCAGAGATTTGAGGTACATACTGCCAGCCTGTAAGATAAAGGAATCCCTCCAGGCACCCAGGAGCAAACTTCAGGGCCCCACCATGCCCAAGTGCTGGTGGCTTGATGACACACACCATCCCGGGCCCACTGACACTAAGCAGACACAGAGAGGGAAGCCCAGCTCGTGTTCATCCAAGCCTCTGGCAGAGTGCCCATCTCCCAGATAAGATCTGAAGAAACTCTAGAGGTTGGAGGGCAGGCTTGGGAAACGAAGCTTGCTTGCCAGGTGGTGACAGGAAAAAGCCAGCCGACCAGCAGCCAGGTCAGATCCTACCCACCCCCCTGAATGCTTGAGACCACCAAACTCCAGATGACCGTGCAGTGAAAAGTCAGAAGCCATGGGGCCAGTGATAAGGCTTCCTGGGAGTCAGCAGCCCAGAATTGCAGGGTAGCAGTTAGCAAAGTCAAACAGAGCAGGGGTGCACCAACAGCGAGAGGTCTCGGGCCTCTGGGACCCTGAAGGAGCCGGACTGTGGACTCCAAGTCCTAATCGGAGCCTCAAGGAGCTGTTGATACACACACACACACACCACATTCACACAAGACCTTCTGTATTCACTCCTATTGATGAGAGTGGAACTCTCCTGTAACCAACTATACGGTGCAGCCCAGACACGAGTATGGAGACCAGCCCTGGCCCACAAGACAGCACTGTACATAATTCATTCTTGTCGCCACTTACACAGGGCATTCCTTATAATAATGTTTTCCTGGTGAAATAATTAAATTATTCCTCGGCCTCGCACATCCACGATGGGATCCCCCACGATAGGATCCACAGAAGACACTTGAGCCAGGCAGGAAGCACTCAGATTCTGAACTCAGTTGAATACTGACTTTTGGTCACCTCTTCCTCATATCCACACCGCCACTTCTGCAGAACCCCACCACGCTGCTGCCAGGACCCCTCCTAGCCTCAGCTGCTGGGCATGAAGATGGCTCTGAATTCAGGGTGGGGAAGGGGCAGCTCCAAGCCTCTCCCCTCACATCCAGCCTCAGTGGTATCTCTGACTCTGCCCTCCCCTAGAGCCCAGCTGGCCTAATTTTTTCCTAAACACTACCACCTCTGGGGCTCCAGGAGAGGGGAGAGGAGGGCCTCCTTGCTGAGCGCACCCCCCTCCCCAATCCGGTCTCCCCTCTGCACTACTGATGGTCGTGATCAAGAATCACCCCAACCTCCATACACACACCCAAGGAAAGGAAAAGAAGCAAGCGCCCATCCAACTGGGGCTGCCAGGAGAGGCCCGTCCTGAGAGAAGAAAGAAAATGGCTGAGGCCCAGCCTCCCACAAAGCAACTCTGTCAACGCGCCTGGCTGACCAGATGAGGGGGCTGGAAAGTTGGCCAAATGAAAGGGCAGGCGTGGTCACTGCCAGCTGGGCCCGGCCTCTGCAGGGACCCAACCTGAGGGCCGGAGGACAGACATCCAAACCAGCGGAGAAGTGCGGCCCTTCTCCCACGCAGGCCCTGTGTCTGTGCCCCAGGCCCAGAGATCCACTTTCTCCGGGTCGGATACTAGACATCATCTCCCTCCCTTGGGTGCCCCAGTGCAGTGTCGCAGCCAGCTCCAGGCCCTGATGCTGGAGCCGAGGAAGGCGCTGTCCAACCCTGTGTCCAGTCCCGGCTCTCTCCTATTCCCACCCGTACCGGGAGGCCCCAGCCTCCGGAGGGTGGCACCGCCGGGTCGCCGACACCTCAGCTGCGCGCAAAAGCGTCAGAAGGCCGGGGCAGAACGCGCACGGCGGCCGCGGCCTCCCTGCACCAAGGCCCGCGCACCTGCACCAGCCGCCGCGCTCCGGGGTGGGGGTGGGCTGGGGTCCCGCGGCCGGGAGCGCAGCTGCTCGGGCAGCACGCTTATTAGCGGCCGCGGCAGACGGCAGATGGGCGGCACAATGGGCCGCCCGGCGCGGCGCACAATGCGGCCTCCGGGCCGCGCACCTGGAGCCCCGCGCGTGTCCTTGGGCCGCGCCCCGGCGCCCGCGGCTGCGCGCCCGCTAAGCTCCCCGGCCGCAGGGCCCCTATTGTTCGCGGCTGTGGGCAGCTGCGGACCGCCCGGGCGCGAGGCCGGCGCTCGGCGCATCCCTGGTCCGACGCGCTGTCACGGGCCCCGCGCGGTCCCCCGTCCGGCCGGCGCACGCACCTGTCTGCCCCTTGCCCAGCGTCTTCTCCAGCCGATAGGGCCCCACATACTGCGCGTGCTGTGCCCCGCCGCCGCCGCCTTCCTTCCCCGTCGATGTCATCGCTCCCGGGCCCGCGGCCGCGAGTGGCGCCCTGGACGGGCGGGCGGGAGGTTGGGAGGGGCCGGCACGACTGTCCGTCCGTCGGTCCGTGTGCGCCGCGCTGCTCCGGTGGCGGCCCGGCGGGCGCGCTCCTC